AACACGCCATTTAATTATTCTAAGGCCTAGACCCAAGTTGAAGAGTTCCAGTTTCTTCAAGAATATGTGAGGTCTTTCAAATCATGGTGATTTCCTTTCTAAGACATGTATTATGATCAAGTATTGATAACTTCAATATCATTCGACAAAACTAAATCAAAGCAAAGCAAAAGGCGTGCATCTTTATCGCCAGGAGGCCATTTCTTTACGAAGAAATAGGAAATAATTACACAAGGCAAAAATTTCATTATGACGTTTTCATTATCTTCAGGTGCGGAAGACCAAGAGGGTGAATGTCTTTACATTTCCCATCTCAGCGGAGAGGACTCACCTCAATGTGGTTCTTTTGATGCACCCTGCCGAACATTACCACGAGCGCTTCTCCTGGTTAACAATGGTGGCAAAATTTGCCTCGACGGAGCAAACAGTGAGTCAAATCCATACGAATGTTTGAAAACCCACGGCCCTAATGGAGCTGAATTGAAAGTTATAGAAAAAAGTGTATCGATACAAGGTGTGTCCTCCCCAGCGCACATTTCATGTGGCTTAATATTTGCGTCAAGGTTCAAATATGGTTTTGTCAAAGGAACCTTCTCAAACCTTGTATTTAACAATAGTAGGTATGGATTAGTTTTCTCCAATGTGCCTTCCTACGATGTTGTCATTTCCAAATGCAAGTTCATCAACTGCCAGAAAGCCGTTTTTATGCTATGGGAAGGGACTTATTCAAGCATCCGTCTAAGGTCCTCACTTGAGGTTTCTGATAGTGAATTCCGCAACACTTTATATGGCATCGAATTTGGTCCGAAGTTCAGACATAACTTTGCTGAGGTTTTCCTGTCAAACCTTGTATTCGACAACGGAACTTATGGTGTAGTCCTCGCTAATGTGTCCTCCTATAATATTGTCATCGTAAAGTGCAAGTTAAGTAACTTCCATAAGGCAGCCGTTCGTATTTTATGGAACGAGATAAATTCCATCATTCTTGAAAAGTGTAGTCTCGTAGCCACTGATAGCGAGTTCCGGTACAATGCAAAATCTATACTTGCTATGTTGCCCAACGCTATTGTGGAGACTAACATATCAAGATGTCTATTCGAAGGCGCAAAGGGACGTTTTAAAGTCACTTCTGATCTTAGAAATGCAACAGGTGCCGTGTTTGTCCGATCACAAGCCAATGTGGTTATAACGTATCCAATTCATGTATTAGTCTCAATCACTGAGTCTATTTTCCAAGAGCTCGGCCACGAAGACAACAGCTTCGCGGTATCAGTTACAGTTGACAACCTCTTTGGCAATGGGAGTATATCATTATCAAACACGTCCTTTCTCAACAACGAAAATTCTGTCTTTGTCCATGGTGGACTTGGCCTGAATTTCACTAACGTGACGGTGAATTCCACATACGGATATGCCATTATGGCCAGTGCTCCCCCTAAAACATTAATCAAAGCGCCAGGTGTGAGGGTTTTTCTTGAAAATTGCATCCTAGCAAACAACCGGATTGGCATAAGGATGTCAACGACTACTTGTTTAGATAATACGGCTCGGTATTGTTCAACGGGTGACCAAACGCTTATTGTAAGAAACAGTCTTATACTGGGAGGCAACGAGACATTAGGCGCTGGGGATGCAATCAGATTTGGGATGAGTTTTCCTAAACGGAACGATACTCGTGCAGTTCTGAAACCAAGCACAGAAGAGGTTTATCTGTCACCAGATTTTGAAGCAAAACTACTTCTTGATAACGTTACTTTTCTGGGGTTACATGACTGTGCACTGTCAGTTACTATAGAGAAGAATGTGATTGGTCTGATTTCGGTAAAAAACTGCAGATTTCTCAATAACACTCAGTTTGTGAATCGATTAGATGAACGAGCAGCTATCCAAATTGAATTTCCGAACGACGATCCGCCAAAATGTCCACGAACAGCGAAAGGAAACGAAAGTAAGGAACTGATGTGGAACAAGAAGTCTGAGCTACCGGTTATGATTGAAGATACTTCATTTGAAAACAATGTGGGCATCACTGGAGCAATGAACTTTTTGAATGGCAATATCACTATCAAGAACTGCGCATTTAAAAACAATGAGGGAGTGGCTTTAGGTGGTCATGTCTACATGAAGACAGGTTTCGGCATTCTGAACATCAATAATTGTAGCTTCCTACAAAATTTAATAGGTGATTCCCGCGTGTCAGCTATTGCTAGTTTTCTTCGATCCGAGAGTGCTGGTCCGTTAAAGATTCAAAATTCGTCCTTTGTAGCAGACGTTAATCAAGAATTCGATCCAATATTTGCAGCGACGAAAAGCAGTACGATAGAGATCGACAGTTCAACCTCCTTTAAATGTCCAGATGGAAAACAGATCACGCTTGAAAACAGCACCCAAGAAGACGGTTTCGAACTCGTTAAAGGAAGTGAGACTTGCTGGATAAGCGTAGCTTACGTCACATTTTTTTGTGAAGAGTGTCCGGATGGATTCTATAATTTAAAAAGAGGATCTTCCAATGGTCTGGATATTCAGAAGGTAACAAAGTGTCATAGATGTCCATATGGCGCAACATGTGAAAATGGAGACATTGAAGCCCAAGAAAACTTTTGGGGTTGCTACTCTTCACCATAATCAACTTAGCTGGAGTTTCATCCCTGTCCACTGGAATACTGCAAACCTCCAGCTCGTTCCAGTACTACCGCTTTTAATGGTTGTCATGGCAGCAGGACAGGAATTTTATGCGGCCAATGCGCTGAAGGTTTCAGCGAAGACTTATATTCCACTTCTTGTCGAGAGAAAGAAAAATGCAATGATCATTGGTTTTGGATTGCGAGCTTAATTTACGTAATAATCTTGGCTCTCTATCTTGTTTTCAAGCCTCCTATCTTCCCCTGGCTGTATCGGCAATGCTTTTGGTTTAAAAGGAAATCCAATAGCAGCCAAGGACACGTAGCACTACATGAAGGGAATGATGAAGAACACGATGCTGGGTATTTGAAGACCATCTTCTACTTTTATCAAGTTGCTGAAATACTGATGATAAAGTCCCCTGAGGAAGCCCTTCACATAATTCCCTTTGTTACGCCAATAATCGCACTTTTTAATTTCCAGGTAAAGACCATTAACGGCAGCATTGGGTGCCCATTTCCTGGCTTTGATGTGGTTACTAAAGAGCTGTTTTTGTGCTTGAAGTTCCTGGCGACTCTGTTCTCCATTGCCATGATTTATGCCATCCATCGAGTCATAAGCAGGTTCCGGCACATT